GTCTTCAGTTTCAGCACTGTCGTTACAGATGCCAAGTCACTCATTTGGTGTCCGTAACATCGTATGTATCCATTAGCATAACAGGAGAACAATTGTAGTTCTTAAAATACCTGTAATCAGTCCCTAAAACTGATGGCTCATGGCGCAGATTGTGCCAGCACTATCATAAGTCAGTAGACCGGCTGCCACGAGAGTGATCTCATACATCGGCACTAGCATCGGCTGTATTACAGCTAAGTTATAAGACCAGTAGGTACTAAGGATGCCACATGTACAGTTCAGAAATAAGGACATACATTCATTCAGTAATACCAGTTCAGTAAACAGTTCAGTTCAGTATTCAAAAGATATCAGTTGAACATATCTTCTACACAATTGTTAGCCTCACAGAGTTTGGGCTAACAGTATTCTAGAGCGTGTCTCCCCAGTCGCCACACCCTACACAGTTAACAGATTGAACACACACTAAGCTACCCAATTGGGAACGGTAATAACTTAATTCCTAATGCCTGGTGTGTTCTACATCTATATCCTCAACAAGATGCCTTAAACTAGGCCTAAGAATGCCTAGAATGGGATGAGGATGCAAAGATGTACATTTAAAAGCATTTTCAGAAAAATAGAGTTCCGCTCGAGCTCAGGTTTCCCCGCTCGAGCGGACAATGCAACAAAAGGTACACGCTCGAGCGTAAACTTTCCCGCTCGAGGCTTATCTGTAAAAGTGCTGGATGGGTGAAATCTCCGCTCGATGCCCGCTCGAGCGTGAGACATGACTTCGCTCGAGGCGCCCAATACCTCCGCTCGAGCGGACTGCAAAACAGTGCAGAAATACTGGATGCTCGAATTCTACGCTCGAGCCGGCACTTCCTACGCTCGAGCGGAATGCAGAATCTGGAAATTCCAGATTAACACCTCCAAGCCAAAAACCAAGTTCAAAGCATTAAAACCGATCCTCTTGGCCCATTTCTGGAAAAACATTTATAGACACATAGAATAACATGATTCAAACTCAATTTGGGAAATCAAAGCCCAAGGGTGTATTTATTCAAACCCAATTCAAAAATTTTCAAAGAAGAAGAAGAACATGCAAAACATGCATGAATTCAAACCATTTTGAAGCGCTCCAATGTGATGCTCTAAGGAGCCAATTCTTTTCAAAACATGGCTAAAACATGGACCATTACAAAATTATGAACATGCATGTAACCTTTTGCCATGAACTCAACTCAAAATCCAACAATACTAACATGCATGCAAAGATTGAGCTTCAATTCACCATTAATGGACCAATTCATGACTTAGCTCTACAACTAGACATGAACCATGCAAGAACCAGTTCAAACACAAGAATAAGAAGATGAAATCCTTACCTAGAGCTTGTATTCAAGGTTTAGGAGTCCAATTAGGCAAATCTCCTATGATCTCTTCAAGCCTTTCAAGCCAATTCTCTAGAACAATTCCACTCTGTCACTTCCTCTCTCTCTAGTTCGGTGGTGTGCTCAAAATATGGCTGAAGAAATGTTTTGATAAAGCATACACAAGGCTCAAATATGAGTAAACAAAGGCCCCACTAGATGGCAAAAGTGTAATTATGTCAAACTCTTTAATTGGCCTATTTTAATCTAATTTAACCATACCTAATCGGTTTTCAGATAATTATACCATAAAATTACATTAATTATGAGGATCATAAAACACTGACCAATTCCGGATTCGGCCGCCGATATCTTTGATTGGCCAGTTTTTTTTTTTTTCTTTTCTTTTCCTCCAATCACCAGCCCCTACGTGTGTGTGGGGGTGGTGGGGTGGTGATTGGAAGGGGTCTCAATCACTTCCTTACAAATAAATAGGGAAAAGTAGCTCATACTACAATCGAGTTTGGGCACTTGCAGTCAAATTTTTGTCCATCCAAGTTAAATGGCCACAAAACCAACCTATAGAGGGGCATTTTAAAGCCTATTGGATTGAAAATTATTAGATTATGTTTCACATAACTTTTGGGATGGGTAAATTTCAAAGTATACACACAAGATGACATTTCAGAGGTTATGTTCATTTAATGTATCTAGTATTTTTGTTGATTCCAATCCCAAGGATGGATTTGTGCCTATGTCGCATAACTAAAAAGGGCATAATTACATTAATGTGACAAAATAAAAGAATACAGAGTTTCTCTTTCCAAATCATCTGTTTGTATGGCTTAATAGAGAGAAATGGGTAGAAATGAAGAAGAGTTAGTAGTTAGTTACTAGTTTCACCCTCACTTCTTTTAGGAACTGTTGCCATTTTTGCCCTTATTTCACACATTAAAAAGGCTTTCTTATCTTTTTTTTTTCCCTCTCCTTTATCTTTCCCATACAAGAAGAGAGGATAATCCATTATCTTCTCGTCATCTCTTCTCAACCAAACAAGCAAAGTGACTACCACTATCCTATCTTTTCTTTTCTCTCCTACCTAATCATTTCTGTTCTTTTCACGCCTAGTTTACCAAAACTCACAAGTGTTCTGACCAATTACAGTTCTTTTAGTTTTTGGGCCATCATGCAATAAGTTTTAGCCATAAACTGAATTTCTTCAATGTGTGCATTCTTCTTCAGAGTTTCTGGTTAAACTTGAAACGGGAGAAGTTTTAATGACAAACTCAATATAGTTCAAAAACCAGAAAACTGATTCACTACTTGAAATTTTTGTGTCATATTATATATGCAAGTAGTTCACTATTATGGTTCACTGAATTTCACTCAGAGATTGATCCTCTGTGAATATAAGGTATCTGCTTGAACTTCAATTTCTTAAGTAGACTAACTTGAGACGAAAGTGAAAGTCACCCTAACTTACATACCTTTCAGTGTCATATTAATGTCTTTTACAGAACACAGTACAAGCGTTCCGACAACTGCATCAACGGAAGCATCACTTAATGGCAAAACCTCCCCAACCTGCACAAAATCAACAACGTTTAAGTCTAGAGAATTTTAACCTCCTAATTTGACACATAAATTTCTAGACTAACATATATAATTCAAGGAAGCAACCAATAATTTGGAATTTGGATCCAGTATAAGAGCAGGATATGACTAACATGCCTCCCCAAAAGGAAATGGGCTGAAGCACCAATACTAGGGTAGTAGCTTCACAACTCAATTAGTGAACTTCGTCTAACATATATTCCTACCAAAATTTGTGGAACTCTTAAAATTCTGTAATTTGTTTTATTTCTACAATCCAAATCTCTATTCTCCTACAGTGAAAAACAATGATTTTTTTGGGGTGAAGGATGCTTTCTACAACATTCAGTTATTCTTCTCAAGTTGGAACTAGAATTAGTCGAAAAGAAGGTTAAATTGGGGGGGGGGGGGGGGGGGGAACCGTGTTGGGGTTTACAAAAATCAAATGCTTTAAGATGCAGTCTAGAGCTCTATGTCGCTAGTCACATCAAGAAACCCACAAAACACACAAGGCTGAAGATGGAAACTCGATTGCAATATTTCACATTTCACATATTTAACGAAATGAAAATTTCAGCAATGCAGGACACCTTCTTACTAAAGATTTAACCATTGAACATTGAAATTAAGAACAGAAGACAAAAAATGACACCAGTGAAGAAATTGCAGAACAGTTTAAATATGTCCTTACTGCTTTTTAGGTGCCTAACTACATAATTTCCAGGAAGATTATACTGTCTTTGGAAGTTAAACGAGATTCAATGTAAATAGTGTCATATGGAATGAAAAAAGTACCGCGTGTATGAATTTAAAATTTTCTGGAGGTAGGCCAGCAGCTGCTGCAGCTGCCTGTGCATACTTCTCCATCTTTCTGTTGGGATCTATGCCAAAAACACGAACACCATTATCACTGGCATAATATTTGAGATTAGGACCTGTCCCAATGCCAAGCTCCAACACTGTCTTATCCTTTCCCCTCAAATTTGTAAAGATCTGAGACTTAAAACCCGCAACCTTACCAAAGAATAGGTGCATATTAGATATGCACATGGTTGAAATTTCAGTAACAAGAACGTCGGGCAAAATCAATACTTGCACACCCTGGTCTAATTGTGAAAAAAAAGAAAAAAGAAAAAAAAAAAAAAGGCACTAACCTGTGCCTCATATGCTTTACTGCCCTTAGCCATGACAAATGCAAATAATTCCTTATACCAATCTGGCCTTGGAGGGTGAATACTGTTCAGCACATCCTGTATATGCAACGTGTCATTTTTAACGCTTTGGTGCTGCTAAAACATTTGATGCTTGGTAGAGAAATTCAAGTTTGCTTAACAAATTTCATAATTGTGTGGCCAAACATTTGATGTTAGAGTATGATGCAAGTCGACAACATAGATACACGACTTCCACATAAACTTGGTGGGTATATTAATATTTATCCAAACCTTCCCCTGCCATTAATTCCAAGTATAAAGAAAGCAGTGGAAAGAGTAATGAACCTTAGGATCATCTTCATCAAGATGCGGAGGAGAAGCAGAGGAAGGAGGAATTGGTAAGAAACTGGTTCCAATTTCTTCCATTAAGCGTCTTCTTCAGCAATAGCAGAATCTGTGGGCGCATAAAGACTCCGGAGAGAGAGAGAGAGAGAGAGAGAGACAGAGTAATTTTGATCTTCACCCGCTAGTATATATATACGGGTGATGCTATGGTACATCTAAAATGTACCATATATCAGTTATGAGATTATGTGATTTGATATCATAACTAATATCATATAAATCATAACTAAATTAGTTTAATAATTTAATTTTGAATTGACAACCGGTGTAACTGGTTGCCAAACAAGCAAAGTAATCAGAATTCCAAGAGTCCCAAGTCAGTTGCCTCCCTCTCTTGCTCTGGTTCGTGCTCTTGCTCCTCTTCTCCTCCCTCCTCTCTTTCACCATAGTTGTCGAAGTCCAACGGTCAAGCATCGGGGCCACCATTCTTCACCTTTCTCTTCTCTTCCACCATAGCGAGCGAAGAACGATTGGCCTCTCTCTCTTGCTCTTCACCTTTCTCTTCTCTTCCACCATAGCCGAAGCTTCCGCGATGGCCAAAGACCACCAACCCCGTCGGCGATCCACGCCACCGTTGTTGAAATCTTCTTCACAAGCCATCGCTCTGTTCCCATCTCCACCATGGGTTTGTCAACAAATATTTTCCCTTTAGGGTTTTGAATCAAACCCCAATGGCACAGTATCTTGGGTGGCTGTAATAGAACATACCTGACCTACAGAAGAGAGCTCTTGTAAATTTTCAATTCGACTAG